CCCCCCCCCACCCCACCCCCCCAACCCCCCAGCAGAAATTGTGCTCCACCGCACGGCCCCGTACGGGCGCCGTCTCCTCAAACATGTGTACAGTCCGAATTTCTTAGCAGCACTCATGCCTGTTTGCATTACAGATGGGTTGATCAGGCGTCTCTACCCATATCCTTGCCACACATCATCCAGCTTCGTTGCCACAAGCATGATAGGTATTGATAGGTGTTACGAGTACGGTTTTCCGAACGCACCACACGTAGAACGAGATTGCGGAGTGTGAACCTTTTGAAAAGTTTGGAGAATTGAAAGATTGTGAAGCTTCAAAGTTTCGATATTAAAACAGATGCGAGTTTGGAGTCTGAATGTTTGAACAGGAATCCAGCTTGAAAGCTTGAAGACGTGGCGATGTTTGCCGGCGTCAAATTTCGCAAGTTTGAAAACTTAACAGGCCCTGGAGTTTGAGAGATCGAGCGTTTGAAGCTTTGCAAGCTCGACGGCTTCACAGATTGAAACTGTGACTTGGACCTGACTTGGAACATGCTCACTTTGAAGCTTCTTATGTATGTACTATCTGGCGTTTAGGGTCTATGTCTTGAGCATGAAGGGTTTGGACTTCAGGGTGCCAGAATGGCCCAAGCCCTCAACAGCATCCTACTTGGAGCTTGGAGCGAGGGTTTTCTGTACCTTAGTTGCAAAGACGAGGCAAGCTTGACATGTTGGATCAGAGGGGCCAAGATTAATATGCGGAATCAACCGATCGAATGATGAGGGAGTGGGTTTAAGACATGCAATATTTGGAATCAAGCACCATCGCCTGGTGAGGGGCCGGGTTTAGTAGGGTTTTAGAAAAGGATTGCCTGATGAGGGGGGGATTTGAGATAAGGAATTAACTGCCATCGCAGGGCCTACTGAGGGGGCGGGTTGAGGGGGCGAGGTCAAGATGGGAACAACCGCCATCACCTCATGAAGGGGAGTGTTTACGCACTCGCCTCATGAGGGACCGGGTTTAAGATATGGGGTCAACAGCACGCGCCCAGTTTGAGGGCGATTTGACAGACGAAATCAACCGCCATCGCCGTCGACCTCCGAGGAAATCACCCGCCATCGCCTTCCGAGTGGGGTTCCAGATATGAGATCAAGCGCCACAGTCTGACGAGGGGTCGGGTTTCGGATATACGCGCAATATGCGCTTTAGCGCCATCACTTCATGAAGGGGCAAGTTTGAAGATATGGCACGAGCTGCGGCCTGTCAAAAGTTGAAACCTTTCTAAGTCGAATGTTCACACTTTCGATCTCAAAAGTCAACGGATCGTCAAACCTTCGAACTCGGAATCTTTCAAAGATCGAAACTTCGAACTGTCAAACTCTCGACCTCGGCCGACCGAACCTGAATCCCATCTGTCAAACTTCAAACTTTCGTCCTCTCAATACTTGAAACTGTCGAACCTTCAAACTCCTAGCAAACCTGTCAAAGCTTCGAACTTGTGAGACTTCTTTAAGTTCAAAGCCTGAAGAAGCTAGTCGAGCTCGAAAAGTCCACAATTTGAAGGACCAACAGTTAAAAGTTTTCGAATTTTGACAGTTCGAAGTCTGACGCTTGCTCGTTTGCGCAAACCAGTGGCCAAACTGTCGAACTCCAGCACCTGTCAAAGCCTCAAAAGCTGAAACTTTGAAACGTCAAACCCTCAAACTTTCTAACTCTCCAAGCTCGAGCGACCTTGCTCGGCACACCGTTTCAATGTTTTGGGCACCGCCCCCTGCAACCAGCCGGGCAAAACTCCGAACTTCCCGTGTAGGAATAACAGGTTACTTGAACGCTACTTGAATCCTTTATGGAGGAAGCACAGCACACCATTGAATCACATTGGCGAATATCCGGTCGGTGCCGGTTGTCGTCGTTGTGCTTCTCTTCCCGAATCACTTTTTGCTTCTTGTGAATGTCGTCTTCACTATTGTTAAACAATCGTGTCGAAAGGGTCTCGCACTTTATCGACAAATTTCAATGACGACTTAATTTCATGCACTACATCCTGATTTTGACCTCAAGGCTGCATTGCCATCGGAGTGGTGAAGCTAATCTGCGGGTACGTCCGGTTTGAGCAGACCGGATATCAGTGTCCAACGCAGACCTGTTCTTTGGTCGAGCTGGCAGTTGAATGGACAATCAGCCCCCGTGCTCAGTGTCTGACTGCTATTCTTACTGCACAAAGCATCACAAGTAAAGAACCCTTACTCAGATACAGTACACACACACACACACGCACGGCCTCACAACAGCAAGTTGCCGAAATCCGAGCACAAAAAACAAGAAACTCTCCATCTCCAAGCGAGCAATACCGAAACAATAACCCAGATTTTAATACCAAGTATGCCAGACACGGGATGACACGGGGAATATCATAGACCATCTCGTATGGGGTGAGGTCTCTGTCCGGCTACATCATACACTGGGAGGTAGCACGAGGTGAGATGAAGATAGGCTCCCCAAGCTATCCTTGCAGGGACCCACGTTTTCCTGGGATGTAGGGGAGAGCTTAGGTGGACGAAGCTCCGCTACACCCCCTGCGCCTCCCCTGCATCAAGAATGGGAACAGACTCCCATTTGCTCGTAAACGAGAAGTCTCACACACATACCCAATCATAGCTGGTTGCTAGCTCGTCGTCGTCAAGTCGGGGTGGGTTCAGCGAAGCATTCTTTGGGCTTATTCAGCAGAGCTTTCCTCACAATCTTTAGGTGTATTCAACGGAGCTCTTCTTCAGCACAGCTCTTCTCAGAATCTTTGGGTAAGATCAGCAACTTTGGGTGTATTCAGAATCAAGACGATACTCAGCGATCTGTAGCTCTAGATAACGACTGTTCTTGAAGAGTACGAAGACTACGTTGCTCGATGCACCGAAAAACGAGTATCAGCTGTGGCATAGCCCTCTTCGTTGGGCAACCAGCTATGCACAAGGGGTTGCCCCCTGCCTCTGATGCATCTATACATCAAATCCTTGGAAACAGGAGGTCCACACACACACACACACACCAACCCTGTCATGGCCGCTGGCCACGGAACGGTTACAACCTGGACGAGACGAAACGAAATTTAGGAACAAAGTACAACAAGTTATAACTTCAGGAGGTGTTGCTGTCCGGTTGAGCGTTTGCCAACTGTGTAGCATTCAAGCGCATAGGACTGTCGAAATGTTGCAATACATCTTTGCATGGCTTTGTTCATAGTGCCACGAAGGGTTTGAACTTGGTGAAGCATCGTAGCTGCATTAGTGACTTCAGTAATCTACTGCGGGAGCTCTGAAAACTACTGTGCCAACTTTTGAACTGGAACTTGCAACGAGTCCGGTAGTGATTGCTGTATGTGTCTGGTGGCCACACCTTCCTCACGATGTTGATGAAAGTCTGCGCGCAAACTTTGAAGTTCAGCTTGGGTATACTGTATCCAGCGAGTTAGACCAACCAAAGGATCCAATCAATGCCGAGCCCGTAGCATCCGAGCACATGTCGAAAAAGCTCAAGCTCTCAGTTCTGGGAAAGTAAGCCAAGCTACTGCCAAAAGCAAACTTCTGCAGAGTGCAATTTAATTTTCCTCAAAACTGCAACTGCTGATTCTGGTTGTAGAAAGACTTTTTACGGCGGTCGGGCGGCTTCTACTGCCGGTACCTGCTGCTGTAGTACATTGATTTCGTGATTACAAAGTTCGATAAACGTTGCAAACATCTCGCGAAGCCGCTGTCCATTGACGCAGCTGACGACTCAGAACCGGCTTCTTCGGACAGGAGCAGGGATGGCTCTCTCTCTCTCTCTCTCTCTCTCTCCCCCGGGCATGAGGGTCGGTCAAGACCCCCGGGCCACAGGCCCACCCGCATTGTTTTAATGCAGGATAGGGGT